CGAGTGTGCGCGTGTGCACGTCTGTGTCGGGGGCCTGCCCGAGACGGGGGAGCCGGGGACAGAGAAGGGCCCCGAGCATGTGGCGGTGCTCAGGCCCTGCAAGGAGAGCCGAGGGTCCCGGAAGACGGACCGCTGCCACTCTCTCCGTGATCGTTTTGGGATCCTGGTGTTTGAAATTAATCAAACATTAGTTAAGCAGCTGTTTGTGAAAGGGGCGAGACCCCGAATGGGTCTGTAAGACAAGCCTCTGCCCACCGAACCCACGGTGCAGCGTGCGTGGAGTGGAGAGGCCCCTTCAGAGGCGCTGCACAGGCTGCCATGCTGGGAGAGGAAGGAAGGGGAGCGGGGAGGGGGCAACTGGCCTGGCCCTATCTTCCCACCTGGTGTCCAGCACCTGAGGGGTCAAGGCAGGTGCCCTGTGGGAGAGGGGTTTAGGCTGGGCTCTGAAGACAGTCAGTAGAATATTGTCCGGAAGAGGGTATTCCAGCCTAGGGCATGGCAGGAACAAGGGCCTGGGGATGAGGACAGCGTGGGACTGTTTGGTCACCAGACTGGCAGGGTTGTGGGCGTCCATGAATGGGAGGACAGTAGGTTGGGGTCAGGGTGTGTGGGGCCCTCTCGATGGGACTAAGGTGTCCAGGTTTCATTTGTGGGCACCAGGGAGCAGCTGTCCTGTTTGAGGAGGGGTGCAGTGGCCAGAGGAAAGTATCAGCAACCCAGAGGGGCAGGCGGGGGGTGAGTGGGTGGGAGGCTAGGGGGAGGCAAGTGGGGAGACTGGGTTAGGGCTCAGCCGGGTCTGTCCCTCCTGCCGTTCCTAGGTGGCTGGGTGCCATTTGGTGATGAGACTCTTTTTAAAAAAAAGATGACCAGTAAGGGGATCTTAACCCTTGACTTGGTGTTGTCAGCACCACACTCTCCCAAGTGAGCCACGGGCTGGCCCTTGGTGATGAGACTCTGATGTTGGCCCATTGCTATTTGGAGCATGGAGACTTGCCTGATTCCGGGCCCTCCCTCTGGAGGTATTCAGTGATCCCTCCCCCATCTTAGGCCCCTTGGCAGAGGCACAACTTGCTCCTCCTTTCTGCCCCCAACCCAGGAGGACACCTTCCCATTGGAGAGAGTCTCTGGGGCCAGTGCCCCTTTGGAGTTGGGAGAGGGCCTAGGCCCTTTGTGCAGAGTCACACTGTCTGAAAGAGATGGGTGCCATATGTGTAATTTTAAAATTTCTAGTAGCCACATTAAAAAAACGAAACGGGAGAAATTAATTTTAACATATTTTGCTTAACTCAATATATCTAAATATATCTAAAATGTTATTATTTCAACATGTAATCAATATAAAAATATTAATGGGATATTTTACATTATTTTTTGTATACTGTCTTCAATATCCAGCATGTATTTGACACCAACAGCATACCTCAGTTTGGATGAGAAACCTTTCAAGTGCTTAATAGTTACACATGACTGGTGGCTCCCGTATCAGACAGCACAGATCTGGAGCTTTTTGCAGGGAGGCAGAGGTGGCAGGAGGCTTGGGGCTTCCCCGAGGGCAGAGAACCTGTAGGGGTGGGGGTGTGGGAAGAGATGAGCTGACAGAGGCCCTGCCAAGGGCGCAGTGAGCATGACCGTACCCTTTGCTGTCATGATCTGAGATCTCTGACTGGTGGTAGTAGCTGGGGTGTGGTGCGGCTAAGGGCCCCATTCCAGACTCAGATATGTCTCCGGGCTGATTTTCTGTGTTGGTGTGCTAGGAAGCCATACATGTGGTACATGTGAGGAGATTTCAAGGGCACCATGAGTACAGTATTCCCTCTGCTGCCCAAAAATCCTGTCTTCTCAGCCTGCAATTCTACCGCCTGGCACTTTAGCTTAAGGCTCTGACTGTTGTTAAACTACATCTCTCTTGAGAATGATAACACTTTAAGGTATTATCAGTCCCTTATACCTTCATGTGAATGAGCCCTAGATCCTTAGCTAAGAGAAGGTCTTGGTGGGGGAGGCTGGGAGTTTGAGGGGAGTAGGAAGGGCAGGATATCAGTAAAAAGAGAAATAAGTTTGGAAGAAGGAGGTTGGGGTGCTAATATCAGACTGCTTATTCTGGAGATTTGTGAATTCCAGGAGGGTGGGGACCATGCCTTACCCATATAGACATGCCACTGTCCTGTGCCTAGTACACAGAAAGTGCTCGGTGCACATGTACCAAGTTACACTTCTGACCTAGAGAGTCTCTGTAGTGGTCTCCCTTGGAGAGATCCTTCTAGAAACCCTGGGGAGAAAAGGAGGAGGTTTCCTGAATGTTCCCTGGTGGCCTCTTGCATTTGACTGCATCCTGGGTTACTTAGAGAAAACTAGAGACCCAGGAAAGCCCATGTGCATATGAGTCTGTAAGAAATTAGACTTTGGACAAAAGGAAGATAGAAATTTGTTGGCAGGCAAAGGGAAGGCCCTGTAAGAAAGCTAGAGTGCACCCAGCCATTTTTCTTGGGCCCAAGCCCTGATGCCTTTTGGAGGTGTGGTTTCTGGGGCGGGAGTATTGGCGACTGCTTGATTTTTGTCTGCATTTCTTCAGCGAAGATGTGCAAAGCCTTAGGGGAGGTGGGGCCGGAGTGTCAGGCCCACCCCGTCTGCCCTTTGGCTCTCTGCTCAGTTTTGTCAGGGATGTGATGAAGATGGAGAGGGTGGCAGAGCTGTGGCTGGCAGCCAGCCTGAAGGGGGAGCCACGTCAGTGGGCACCACCCTGGATCCACATTCCCCTTACTGTCTTGGCTCTTGGTCCCAACCCCAAATAATGATGTGTAACAGGGATATACGTCAGGCCCTTGGGTACGGTTAAGAAGACGTGCACACCAGTGATGGCCTGTGCAGCAGCTCGTGTGTGAGAGACCTCGGGACTTCAGGTGCCCCTGAACACTGAACAAGTCAGCCTTGTCACACCCCTGCTGTGGAAAAGCTGCTACTAACTAAGGCCACAGAGGGAAGGGCTGTAGTGGTGTCCAGTGCCCAGGAGGAGGGGGCTGTGTGCCAGGCAGAGTCACAGAGAGGATGGCCCTTGGGGCCGGCTCCATGCAAGCTGACCATGATGTGTGCCCTGGTGAGAGACAGATGGAAGGTCCAGTTTAGGTTGCCGAGAGCACTGGGGTGGGACGTGCGGGTGTCACAACAGCTGCCTGCTTCCACCTGGCTGATAGGCGGTTGCCTATAGGATAAGGTTGCTAATAGCAGCAAATAGCCTGTTGTCTCATCTCGCATAGGTTGCCGAGAGCACTGGGGTGGGACGTGCGGGTGTCACAACAGCTGCCTGCTTCCACCTAGCTGATAGGCGGTTGCCTATAGGATAAGGTTGCTAATAGCAGCAAATAGCCTGTTGTCTCATCTCGCACCTCACACTGTTGGGAGGCAGGTCCTGTGATTAGCTCAGGCAAGAAGATGTGGCTCAGAGAGGCTAGGTGACTTCCCCAAGATTATACAGCTAGACAGTGGCAGAACTGGCCCTTTCCAACTCAAGTCCACGCACTTCAACACCAGACTAGCACTTTCAGTGTAGCTTGCTAGGGCAGAACCCAGATGGCTGACGTTCAGGAGGCCTGGCCTTCCTTTCTAGACAAGCGTGCTGTTCCACAGCAGCATGGAGGGTAACGCGCCCCCGTCACCACCCCTGTTCTCTCCCAGCTCTCGCCCCTCTGCGATGCCGTTGCCACTCTCAGCTAACCTCTGTCTCTTTCTTTTTGCCCATCTGTGTCTGTCTCCCTCTCTCTCTGCCTCTCTTTGTGGAGGGAGCTTGTCCCCTCTTCTTTCATCTTCTGGATGTGTGTCCCTCTGAATCTGACCTTCACCTCCTGTCTGTCTGTCCATCTGCCTCTCTTCGTGCCTGTCTCCTTCACTGTGCCTGTCCTGGTCTCTCTACAGGACCCTCCAGTGGACATGGGTGGGGCCCTGGGGCCGGCCCTTCTGCTTACCTCGCTCCTCGGTGCCTGGGCAGGGCCGAGCCTGGGACAGGGTGAGCAGGCTGTGACGGTGGCCGTGGTGTTTGGCAGCTTGGGGCCACCACAGGCCCAGGTCCGTGCCCGCCTCAGCCCCCAGAGCTTCCTGGACCTGCCCCTGGAGATCCAGCCGCTCACCGTGGGGGTCAACAACACCAACCCCAGCAGCCTCCTCACCCAGATCTGCGGCCTCCTGGGTGCTGCCCGCGTCCACGGAATCGTCTTTGAGGACAACGTGGGCACTGAGGCTGTGGCCCAGATCCTCGACTTCATCTCCTCCCAGACTCATGTGCCCATCCTCAGCATCAGTGGGGGCTCCGCGGTGGTCCTCTCCCCCAAGGTGCTCATCCAAACTCATGTCCCCTTGTCCCTTGGGCCTGGAGCCAGGCTGGGGCTGGGGAACAGGGCTGAGGCAGGTCCAGGGAGAGACTTAAGTCCTGGGAAACTGGGATTGGGTGGGACCGGCAAGGAGGTGGGGGCTGAAGGTGGGATGTGGGCAAAGGGGGAAAAGGCGGTGGGAACGATGTTCCCATGTTCTAGAAGATAAACTTTCTGGGCTGCTTTCGCATTTGTGTCTGGATGAGGGTGGTGGGTGGCGGGCCCACCTTCAGCTGCGGTGGTCAGGCCCTGCAGCCCACCTCTCTGCTTCTCTAGCTCCCCCTTGGTCCAGCTCCAGACCCGGGGGGCAGAGGGCCGGCTGGGCACGTAACCCAAGGCCATGCCCTCTGGGCAACTGGAGTTCACCCGCAGGGGAGAGCACTCCAGGGGCAGGTCACTGTCTGAGGCATTGGGGGAGGCAGAAACGGCCCTGGCCTGGCAGAGCTTGCAGGCCCCTGGGGAGAACGTTCTAATCACATTCATCTGCAGTTACAAACTGGGACAAGCGTTCTGAAGGAGACACACGAGATGCCACGAGGGAGTCTCACGGGGCCTCCATTTAGACAGGGTGTTAGTCAGAGAAGGTTTCTCAAGAAATGTCTACGCTGAGACCCGGAGGCTCAGGGGGAGGTTGTGGGGGGAGGGAAGTGTTCCAGGCAGAGGAGCAGGTGGTGTGAAGGCCCCCTGGTGGGAAGGAGCTGGGAGCTTTTGAGGAACAAAGAGAAGCCTGGAGATGGATGTGGGGTTCCAGACACCTGGGAAGACATTTGGGTTTTGCCCCAACTAAATGGGCATCCAAGGAAGGTGTTGAGGGAAGAGACTGATCTAATTTGCCTTTTTCTAATTATTTTTTTTATTATGGAGAATATTGAGCACACATAAAAAAGAGTATAATGCATTCCCACGGACCCCCAGGGACCCCGGCTGACCCGCCCTGTCCTCACCCCTGCCCACTTTCCCCTCTTCTGTGTTAAAGTGAAGCAAAGCCCGGGCATCCTATTAGTCCATCCGTAAATATTTCCTTATGTATCTCTAGCAGATAAGGGCTTACAAACATAAGACCACTGTCTAGTATCACATCTAAAAAATAATAAAAATTCCTTAACATCATCAAATATCCAGCCAGTGTTCAAATTTCCCCATTGTCTCATAAATGCCATACATTTTTTAATTTTTAAATTTGTTTGCTTGAATCAGGAGCCAAATTAGGTCCACACATGGCAAAGGGTTGAAGTGGCTTCTCAGTCTCTCGACCTACAGGCTCGTCCATCTTTCTTTTTTTCTTACAATTTGTTTGCTGAAGAAACTGGGTTGCTTGGCACGTAGAGTTTTCCCTGATTCGCTTTTTAAAAAGATTGGGACAATGGCAGTGTGGTGACATCTTGGAGGGGCTGCAGTGAGGAGGGACTGAGCTAGCCCGGGTGCGAGCTGGCGGTGACTTGGGCTGCTGTGGCACAGGCGGTGGAGCGGGGGGCTGTCCCACCCCCAGGGCTCCAGGAGGGTGGTCCTTTCCCAGTCATCTTTGGGCCCCGGCGTTAGTCTCGGTGGTTCTCAATCCTCACAGTGGTTTTAAAAAGCGCACACTGCCCAGCGTCGCACCCGAGATGGCGACTCAGTTGGTCTGGAGCAGCGCTTGTCAAACTAGAGGCCTCAAGAGCCACCTGAAGCGCTTGTTAAAACACAGATTCCGGGCACCATCTCCAGGGATTCCGGTCCAGTGGGCGTGGGGTGCGGCCCGGGAATCTGCATTTCTAACAGGCTCCCAGGTGGTGCTGATGCTGCGGTCCACCACGGTCGGGTGGGGGGGGCATGAGCGTTATAAAAAGAGGCCCAGGTCACTCTGAAGGGCAGTGGAACTAAGAACCCCATCGGAGGCTGGTGACAGGTGCTGCGGCCCGGGGGCTCCCGGGACCCCGAGCATCTGCCGACGCAAGGGCGTCTGGGAGCTGAAGGAGGGGCCCAGGTGCGGGGCGGGGCGCGGGGAGGCTCAGACCCCGCCCCGGCTCAGGCCCTGCCCCGGCCCCGCCCCCCAGGAGCCGGGCTCCGCCTTCCTGCAGCTGGGCGTGTCCCTGGAGCAGCAGCTGCAGGTGCTGTTCAAGGTGCTGGAGGAGTACGACTGGAGCGCGTTCGCCGTCGTCACCAGCCTGCACCCGGGCCACGCGCTCTTCCTCGAGGGCGTGCGCGCCGTCACCGACGCCAGCTACCTGGGCTGGCGGCTGCTGGACGTGCTGACGCTGGAGCTGGGCCCGGGCGAGCCGCGCGCGCGCA